GTGCGAGCTTCTTCACAGCCCTGTGAGGAGGGCTAGGTAAGTTAAATAAAAATTTGAAGGAAGTTTAAATTAATCAAATGAATAATGTGGCTCTTCATGTACTTCCAGGTTTTTCTCTAAAGAGAGATTTGTGTTACCATTACACATCGTACAGTGGAGAAGATTATAAAAGGATTGGTGACGAAACACTTTATTTTTTCATCGCGTCCTCTAAAGTCTGGAGAACTTTTGGTTTTTATGTTTAGAGTATGATCCAAAATAAAAGAGAAATAAGAAAAAAGTACACACAAATTAAACAAAAAACAAATAAAAGAAAATTTATTTAGAATATACTAAACCTCTAAATTCTACGTGCAAACATAATTACCATACAATGAAATGAACATCTTGGTTTGTTTGTTTGTTTTTGTTTCTCAAATATATTCAATGTAACAAAGCCAAAGAGGTGTCTTTACAGTATTTCCATGGATGAATGAGCAATATGTGATTCTCTGTTGAAGACAAGTTTAACTTACAGTGAGATGCAGGAAATCATGCATATCTTTGCTAAAACAAGACTTGTTTAAGGTTAACATGAGGAAATAAACTGGTGTGATCGTGCACAGGCATCAGTATACAATCCTCTGAAAACAAACTAATGCAAACATCATCTGATTAAAGGTTGAAAAAAAGGCTACAAGTTACTGTCAGAAGGATGGAGGAAGGCAACAGTTTTAAAAGATGTTCAAGAACTAGAAGACCTGGACCACAGCTTCTGTGAATGCAGAAGCTAAAGGTGGGAAAAGAAGGAGTGCAAAGAGCCTGAAAACAGGTTCAGATAAGCTGTCAGATGGGCCACAAACATTTTTCCAGCCTGATCTCAGCGGAGAAAACAAAAAAGGTTTTCTGTGACTAATTATAAGTAAATGCAGAGAATTTAATGCTTTCACTGCAGTTTTCACATTTTACAAATCCATCCAGTGAACTGAATTAGATCCTGTATGGGTGTAGCTGCATGTCTGAAGGCCTTTATTATGTATATACACAATTCTGAGCCTCATTTTTACTTAGAATCATTAGATTAGAATCATTCTCATTTCCTTCACCATTTTCACACCAGCACGTTAGGCTGCATTCACCACGGTTTGACCACTAGATGGTGCTCTGCCCTCAATAATTGCATTTACATACAATGTCAACAAAAAATTAATTCAAGATTAAAGTAATACCTTAACACACGTGGTTCTATTTACCAGCATCTTTTCATTAAAAAAAAAACCGTGTAAAAACTACATTTTAAAACGTTTTATTTATTTTTCTCAAAATGCTAAGAGGCATGTGTGTTTCAGAGATTAATCCTTTCATTGTCTTTGGTGTTGGCATTATCAGTCTCTTATTCACCGGTGAGTGTGTCTAGTTTGGCATTCTATTCACTTGTGACCCAAAGTTTTTCTTCTTGCCTCAAATATTCAGTTTGCACAGCTCACAGCACACAGAGGAGTGTTAATAGCATTACTAGAGACAGTAGATAACATTAACATGCATTGTATTTCAAATCAGTGACACTACTGATATCATTAACTGTCACATTGTGCATACTGAGATTACAAAGGTTCTGTAGACTAAATCATTGACTTTAAACACATTTCTCTGTATTCGACTTATT